ACGGCCGCAAGGGCAGAGCCCATCAACGAAGAGGACGCCGGTGTTAGTGAGAATACAGCTGTTTTTAATTCAAAGAGCAGCTCAGTACGGTTCCCGTTTGTTACACAGGTTGCACAATCTGAGGCTGGTTAAATACAATCAAGGTTTCAAAATCTTATGGAATCATTTCCAGATTACAACATGCAAGTGACCACGAAAATATTTGGCTTTTTACTTTATTCGTTAAGTTTCTGAACAGGCACTTACATGAGGGAGTTAAATTTGCTCTCAATTCAAAGATATCCGCGTTAGAAGTATCCTAGCGTAAAGTACACAGAGTCTTTGCTTTATCAAAGTGCCACAGTAATAAAACAGTTCTTACAGAAATGTAATTCCATTATTTACTTACTCATAAAGTAAGGTTACCAGTGACGCTTGCACCGGAGTCGAGAAGTCTTGGTTTCAAGGCCAAGTGAACTACAAGCACGAGCAGCCTTCCGCACAGCAGGCTTTGCTTTATGCCCAAGCCACACATCTGATAACAGACGACATGCTCCGCTGTGAACAGATGAAGGCTAACTCCTGTAAGCTATTTCTTCAAATGCTAAATGCATATGAGATGATTAAGACAACCGATCTGCTGTGCCAGGCAAGCTTCTAGCAATTTCAAGGCTTGCCTGACTTCAAGATACCTTTCCAGAAGACCACAAAAAGCTTGTTTGCCCTCGTGACAGGCCCAGAGGGACGAGGAGGAGGACGTCCGTTGAGGACATTTGCCCTCTCCCATCAGGGCAGCGAGGAGACAGACTGTGAAGACAGTGGAAGCATGAAGCCAGGAGGAACCACATAGTTTCACATATTTGCAAAATAATCAATGTTACCAGCATTTATTTCATCAACAAGAGATAATTACGTTCAAATGCTTTACCCGCTTCACCACCGGAAGGTAAAATCACGACAACGTCTCTACAGTCACTAGTTACTGGGCAACAAACCCCCAAAAAGTCAGGAGTGACTCACATGAAAAGCTCAGAGAAGTACGGTAGAGAAAGAATTGGGGGAGGGAGGGCAAAGATGCTTCCTGACATTCTTTGCTCCTGACAGATTCAAAGCTTTTTAGAAACCCTGGTAAGGTGTCTGAAGGCTCCACAGTTACCACAGTCACAGTGCATATACATGCAGTTTCAGTTAAACCCTGTCTAACACAGCAATTAGAAGTCTTAGGACAAATCCACCGTAAGCCTCGATTTTTAGTGTGATTTAGTCAACTGTGTCTTACTGTAGTTTCAAAACAAAACAAAGCAAATAAGCAACATTGGAAAGAAACATGCAATAAACAACATGAGAGAAGGGAAATGCTTTAGTCTACACTGTATAGGTGATCAGCAAAAATCAAATACGCCAGCCTACCATGCATGGAAATAACTAGATTTAAGCTTATGTATATCCAAGTGCGTATAACATTATCAAATAAAAGTAAATGTGCAGTATAAAATAGTAGCTTAAGAAAGTTCCAGTGTTTGAGAAAGCACTTTATTTTAAATGTATATACATACTTGAATGTTTAACTGAAGAACGCTTTAGTAGTATGGTAAATGCAGCACTGCAAGATGAAGGAAGACAGTTGTAATGGGAATTTTGGCCTTCTTTTCCCACAGGCTGCTGCCATCTTTAACCTGCTGAAGCATCACAAAGTTTTTCACCTTATACCAGTTCACATTTCGGGTTGCTCAGCAGATGCTTGTGATTCTGGAGATTCAAATCGCTGGTGAAAGTTTGTTCGTTGTTTCCTCAGCTTCTCAGGAGCTTTTCTCCATAAAATTATTTCCTATTGAAGAAGCAAACACTTTTGAAGTGACCGTGTACCACTAAGCCAGCAGTATCAAGTACCTTATGTTCCTAATAGGCAAAGACTTGGGGGAGGGGGGGGAAACAAAGCCACAAACCACCCACAAAAAAAACCTTTGCATCCCCATTACTTACAGAACAGTGCAGCACATACAGAAAGTAACAGAAAGACAATGCAAAAAAAATAAACACAAGTTTATATTTAGTTGCTGCCTGAACATTTATCAATCTGGAGCTCTTCCTTATCAATCCTACTCCCCACTTTAATGGTATTGAAGAGTTCAAGAAATTTTTCTTCCTCCTTTTCTCAAAATCCAAACCCATCATAGCCATTGTATGCTCTACCTATCTTTTGTTTTCCATATTTCATTATATTGCCTTGTCTATTCTTTATAAGGAAGACTCTGATCTAATCCACATAGCTTCATTCCAGTGACCCTCTTCACTATTCCTTTCTTCAACTTTTGTTACTTTTTCAGTCAAATGTCTTAGCCCTTACTACAGTTTTGCAATTTTGAGCCCAGGCTAATGCTGAGAGGGGAATCTATCCACAGCAGGTTAAGCAAGCAAGTGAACAAATGCAACTGCAGTTCATTTTACCCACAAAGTGTTTCGTCTGGGTACTCACAATGCAACGTTGTTCTGTGGCACTGAACATCATATCCTCGCTGAAATAGTACCCATCACCCCCCCGTGGCTCCTTTTTGCAAGCTAATATTTCCTTTACAGTATCCAAATACACTCACTAGCAGAAATGCTTAAGCCATACATGAAGCACAGGTGGCTTCTTATGTGTTAAGCATTCAAGGCAGCATTTGCAACAGCCCAGACAGTTCTGCAACAAGACCAACCATACCTGTTGTTTAAAGTATCGTCTGTCTTCTTCATCCACAAGCACTAGATTTAAGAAGTACCTCACTGAAAATTTTTTGTTCACATCCCTCATTGCTGGAGTTGGGTCATAGCCTGCTAAGAACAGTCTTATAGGAATCGATTCACCTTAAAAAAAAAAGATTCAATTAGTTCCTTAAAACTGGATGTCATTACTGTAGTTTCAGAAGACATGCAAAAAAAAAAGGCAGTTTCCCAAGCACTGTCTCTACCCTTTCCTTGCTTAAAAAAAAACAAACAAAAAACTAAAAAAAGCCAAACCACCACCAAAAAATACCACAAACATTGCAGAGGCGACAGTAGCCAGGCAAGACAAAAGGATCAATATCTTGAATTCTCTAGAGCTGGTCTACACCATGGAGCCAGGTTTGAACCAAAGTGATAAAAGGATCAGTCATAGAATTTCCAATGGTAAAATAAAGGGTAAGAATTACTAGGACCCCAAGTGAAATGCCTTAAATCAATAAAAATATCTGCTTCAAATAGGAAAATCCACTATCATTTCAGCAATCTAAGGAGAAGTGTGGTTTCTCCAAGAAAAAAATTATACAAGTCATCTCCCCTCTTCCAGATTTTTTTAAATACAGTTTTAACTCAAAAAATGCTTACCCTTTAAAACAAGCACAGTTATTTACCTTTAACCGGTGCGCCATCCATTATTTCATACTTTGCGATGGTTTCAGTCTCCGTTGTGGTACTGGGTCCTGGTGAAATAAGTTTTCTGTGAGAACACAGGCTTCAGTTTTAAACATTTACAAAGCTTTATCACAGCAATTTCTACTCTGCGGCATTTAAATTACACAACACCACTTTTTTTTTTTTTTTTTGCTTTTGTCTTGCATGTAAGCTACACGCAGCTAAAACAAACAAAACCCTCTCCTAGGCAGAGCATCTCCTTCTTACTCTCTCCTCCCCACACTGACCCAGAAGAGGCAGTAGCCCGTGCTTCAAAGGAGCCCTGGGCACACAGGCTTTAAATAAGGGACAAGCATGCAGGGTAGGACTTGTGAAACAATTCTGTTTGGTGGGCAGTGCTAGCGACCAACACTTTAGGTCATGTCCCGACTAGAAACCTGAAGAGTTATCACCTAGCACAAGAGCCACCTTTCTCCAGAGCTCAGGATGAAGAAGCCCAAGTACCTAATTTAGCCACAAAAGCCAACAAAGTAGAGCTTCCTGCCCTTCCTCTATTGCTGTGGAGGCTTTCTCAGTTCCCACACAAGCAGCTCACTAGAATCCCAGCCACTGCAGAGTGAAGTCATGAGCCACAAGCTCTTACTGCCTTCTTTGTTCAAGGGTGCGCAAGCCTGACCTGCAATAATCAAGCTGTTTCTGCTTCAAAGCCTCTAGATATTTCCATCATACCAGTTTTAGACTGACTGAAAATGGCACATTTCTAAAATAAAAGATATTCACACTAATCTTTACCAAGCTTGCTTTATCAGCTAATACCCTCAGCGGCAAGGGGGTCTTCAGGATGCATTTTACACCTTTTCTCGTGTTCATTAACTGTCAAGGCTGCTTAAGTTGCTGCATATTTATGCCCAAATTCCATTAGCAATGGTTTGTGAAGCTAGCCCAACATTCACAATCCTAGAACAATGCCACAGACCTCAGGTAATGTAGGCAACACATATGATTACCAAAGCACAAAATGCAAATGGTAGTCAAACACCAGTGAGAAAGAAGCACACAGAGCACCGGTTTAGTCAAAGCTGCAGCTATTGACCCCACTCTCCAGGTTTGCATAACGCTCAACCGGCAGACAAGTTGCCACTTCTTTTGGGCTTTGTTTCTCTTACCAATTCCAGTAATTTCCTTTTTGATCAGCTGCAACTCCATGTGCTGAATTTTTATTCTCACTAAGAGGAAATAAATTTTTCCAACAATCACATCCTTTAAGTGATACCTTTAAAAGAACAGAATGGGGGTTGTCATTAAAGAATAAAGACACCTTCTTGAAAACAAGTTACACAGGCAGTTACCTTATCTGGACTGTTAATTACTCAGAGCTTGCCTCCCCCCACTGAGCTAAGCATCTCAGACCAGTGCAATTAGCACCTTTCCATCACTGCACTATTAGTAAAGGAAGTACTGTAATTATATTCAACAAGCTTAAATGCAGAAATGAAGTCTTAAATATTTGCTAGTGACTTCCCTATTAGTACTGAAGGCAGAACAGACAAGTATTCCTCAAAAAAGGCCATTGCGTAATTAGTAACCAAACAGCTCAATACATCGACAACGTTGCTTTACATTTTAAGTCTCCAGATGCCAGGTTGTTCATCAAATATTACATACTCTACCTTTTTCTCCCAAGACATTTACGTGAACACCTTTTGTTCTAAGTGACACTTACTTTGACTTATTGTATTCAAACTCTATATGAAGACAGTCTTCAATGCCTACTTCCATTTTAATGGAGTTGTTTACATCTGGGTACGTAGCAAGCTGGTGAACAATCAGGTCATATTCTTTCACCAGGTCTGACAGCCGTCTCACTATTGTCACTTTCAGAAAATACCTAGGAAAAATGTCACCAAGTTAGCCATAATTATTCAGAATCGCATAAATACAAGCCCTTATGTTCTGAAGTACAGGTATTCTTTGAAATACAAGAGTACATTTTCTTAAGACTCAGCAGAAAAGACTTAAGATACCAAAATACAAGACAAAACGCTTATAGGTGGAAATTTGAAGGGGGGGGTTGATTGGTTGTGTTTGGGGTTTTTAAAGGAGAGCTATGGGCAGTTTTCACTTGATTAAACTGAAAGAATTCAATCTACACAAACTACATTGAGCAATTCCAAATAGAGTAGAAAAGACTACATTATAACATGGCCCCAACAACTCCACTCAAGGCACACCAGCTACAGGCTGTTACATGTCTGAAATTTTGAAATCCAAAAGGAGGAAGGGGAAGAGGGAAGTTGATAAATTCGTAACTACTAAATTATGAATTTGCTGCAGGGACAGAGGGGAGAGAAGGCTTAAGAGTTACAAACCTCAGTCTGACATTGGCACCAATGTAGGATTCATATGGCTTCTCAACCTGCATGAATTCAAAGTCATAGCTTCTGTTTTGGGTCAGTTCTCCAGGTAAGGCCAGTTCTTTCACTAAGTTTACAAATTCATGAGTATTGCTTTTGTCATTGAAGAGCTCTAAAGTTGAGGAAGTTAAAGGAAAACATGCTTCAGTGTTTGTTTTTAGCAAACAAAGCTGTCTCTAATTTGGGAGGAGCAGGTAAGAGAGGGCAAGAGAAGCAATTAATTTGATTTAAATTACACATATTTGACCAAATGTTTTATCCAGTTTTTTGAAGTTATCTTCAGTTTCAGCCACCTACAGTAAGCATTCCTGAAGAGCTAACTGCAACAAACAGAACACATATTTGAAGTTTCACTAGCATGGCATCTTTTTTTAAGGACACTTTAGCAAGTACTTCTTGCCTTGCGTTCTCTGTAATTGGCATCATGCGATTTTGGCTTCCAGCATTTATTGCTGGAGGGACAAAATCTAAGCAACATCAAGACTGGCTCATTTAGGACAGGCCAGTGATCCCAACTGGTATCCCGCAGATCAACACCACCTATATGGTTTATTACTACTACTAGTCTACAATCAAATGGCAAAGAAGTTCTTAATACATATGCATAGACACACCACTTTCACAGCAACGTCATCTCCTGCTCCCAGACCAGCGTCATTATTATGCATCCCTAGATCTGTCATGCAATTCTCACCAAGATAAAAACTTAGAAAGTTAGAAAAAAATTAATACTACCACAAAAAAAAAAATCTGAACACTTTAGCATATAAAAACAAGCTTCTCTACAATTCGCAAGTGAAAATATCAGCCAAGAACATTAGTGGTAGTTGGTTTTACAGAGACTGAAGCTTTTCAGAAGAGAAAAAAAATGAACCAAACACACCAACTTCACAGTTTATCATTGCTAATTTGGTAAAAACTGACACTAACTAGTAGCTGCTTATTTCCTAATACGACTACAAATTATCCAAGGTGTACTTTGTTTGCTCTAACAAGCATTTATATAATACAAAGCTTATTTACTATGGCATAGCCAATACTTTTTATGCCAACCAGAAAAGTAGTACTCTGAAGAGATGGTTTAAAATATGTCTTTGAGATGCAGCTGGAGCAGGTCTCCAAGTAGCACAGAGACAGATCACAACTACTGGGATGCTTTTTGTATTCCTGTATTAGAACTTGAAAGGATGCAAGAAAACATGGACAAGTACAAAAAGAAGTAGCTTAACCCACTTCCACAGATTAAAAATGTCTAAGGATTTCTAAGCAGCAGCACAATGGCAAGTCCCAGAAACACACAAAATTCAAGAAATACTGTATCGAATTGAAGTCATTCAGAGAATAAAATTTATGCAGAGCAGGTGAAGAACAGCCTGTAGAGCTATTAGAGAACAACAGACTAAATGAAGCTGACATATGTAAGCTCTGTTTTTTCCCTACCTCTAGATGTCTCATTCCCATCACGCTGTTGCTTTATTCTGAAAGTTTGCTTTTATGGCCCTGCTGATCAAAACCTCAAAGCATAAAGCAGCAGGTGCCAGAACTCAGTCATACCTGATATGTTACAGTTCAGACATAGGGTACTGGAGCCTACCAACTGATCAGAAATAGAGAAGTTGTGACATTCTGATCAAAGTCAATTATATGAGGCTGAAACGTGAAGATTTACTTCCAAGGGGGACAATGATGCAAACAGCCCTCTAACAGAAGAAATTTTAGCATCAGCCTAAGGGTGCAGAGGTTACCTTGAGCGGTAAGTAGTTAGACATGATCAAGATTCTTTATAGTTTAAATCCAGCCAGAATTAGATACAGTTATAAGAAAATTATATTTGATACCACATTATCTTGCTAAAAAGCACAGAGATCCTCTGAAGCTTCAATATTAATTTATGTTAACAGTGAAAAACTGTTTTAGAAAACCAACCACCAAAGAATTATTTTAGAAGTGTTTTCCTATAGGCTGCCCCATCATTTCTTTTCTATGCTGCTTCTCTTCCAGAGCCAGAATTAAAGACAAGAATTAATTAGTCTGGCACAGTAGGTGCACCTGGTATTTTGGCTTGGAACCTTAAATACAGGCAAAACAAGGCATAAGCAGAAAAAAAAAAAAAGTGCTTTGATTTTGCTTTTTACATCAGGGTCATTCATCATTTATAGTCAGAGGAAAGACTGTGTTTTAGTTAAAAATTAATAGTCTGAAATATACGAAGCAGAAACCGTGTGTACCATGGTAACAAGTTTGGTTTTTGGAAATCTCTAGTGGTTCTTAATCAAAACTGGTCTGAGACAGTCGGAACACTCACCATCCCAGTTCTCCCTCACACGTACGTATCTTCCCTCTCAATGATCTTCTGACTAGCACAAATTAGTACATCACTTGTGTTAAAATGAGTAGGATATAATCTTCCTTTGGCACTTGTCACCCACTAACCCAATTGGTTTGCAATGTTTGAGCCAAACTGCTGACAGTCACAAGTGCAAAGTTCCATAAGCCACATGCACCTAACATCCCTTTTATAGCTTCAAAACTCACCAATTTGTCCTACAAATTCAATTCTGATTCCTTGGTGCTCTAGTCTCTTCCCATGCTGCTTAAAGGAGATGTTCACCTACCAAGGCAAAAAAACCACCGGTTAAAACACTTTCACTCTAACACGTGATCTTGGTAAAAAGGAAAGTACATTACTACTTGCCTACGAAAACTAAGACCTCTTCTCAACAGCACTATCTGAGCTTGAAAACAACCAAATCAAACAGCTGCTTATGAAATTAAGCATTACCCAGGTGCCACAAAAGCATTTAAGAAAAACCTAATCATCCATGAGACTGAATTTAATAAGTAAGCTTGAATCTTTCAAGTCCCAAAATTAAGATGTAAGCCAGAGCTTCAGTAGAGTTCACATAAGCCCGTCATGACCCCCTTGCCATCTTTGAAAGCAGAGAGCTTGAAAGCATCTTCCGACAGTCACATTTGGAAGTCCAAAAAGAACTGCCATGAGGTGCACCCCTTTCAAGTCAAGTGAACTTAAGTCCCTTCCTCAGCAAACAGCTAAGTACTGGTGTTAGAGAAGTCAATGAAAAATAAGATAATGAGATCTGCATTTCTGAATTCGATTCTCACTATCAGACCTTGCCTCACAAGAAAAGATTCCATAAGGTTACTTTCTATGGAAACATGTAAATATTAAGCATATATAATGTTTCCTTATGAGGTAGCGATGACCAGAGACACTCCTGTAGCTTAAAATCCATCATTGATAACAGAGTACGAAGTAAACCACTTGAATAATGTATCTTTGTGGTGAAAAGGAGAGAGGTAGGGGCAAGTCACACAGTAAATTACTGGTCTTCCAAACCTCCTCATCCCACTGTGCTTGTGTTAGCCAAAACTCACCAGGCACCTCTCAGCCATTGCTGATATAAGCAAGAAGTGCTCAGGCCAGTGAGCGTACAAATGCTAGTTCCTTCAGTTTCTCAAGTTTGAGGCCCATCTTGTCAGAGTTTCACATCCCTGAAAGGATCTTTCTAGAGAACCAAGATCTTAGCACAGGAAGGTATCTTAAGAGCAAGAAGATACCCAGTGACAACAGGTTGGTCAAGATCAAAGTAGGTATTTAGAAGTCAATCTCACAATCCAATACCTGGCTCGCCTTTCCTGAAGGAAAAGCAAACCATAACAGAAATATTTGGAGAATGAGAATGGCTCCAGTAAAACCAGAGTGACGACAAGGAGTTCCTAGGTGCAATACTAAAAGTAGAGGAAACCCTCTGGCAATCTCAACTTCATTTTTTTTTTTCCAAGAAGAAAAACTCTTGTTGACTCAGCAGCCAGCTGAACTTTATATGTTGCTCCTCTCATGCAATTCCAGAAACCACTTCAGGGTACGAAACGTAAGGCTTAGCTTCGGGGTATGCAAAGCAGGTTGGCTGCACCAGCCAAAAATTACTGTTCCACGTGTCAGGTTGTGGGTTTTGGAGTTCAAGGGGAAGCAGAGGGATCCAGTCTGGAATAGTTTTCTTGTCAGAAGCAACGACAGGATTGCACAAAAAGCTCATTCATAAATACAAGATGACCAGAAACAGCCACTGTTCAAAACATTCCATTTTATCAGTTGCCTGAATGACTACGGTTAGAAAGACCGTATCTAGGAAAACACTGAAATTGCAAGCTCTTGCTTTTATCAGTTTTTCATTTAACTTCCTATATGCACCTGCATGCCAGAATCAGTACAGTCATTAATAGTCACTTTAAAAAAAAAAGTTACCTTTCCTGAAACAGATTCTCCATCATAGAAGAGAAAATGCTTTTCTACTTTACCATCTTCTGTTTTGATTTCTGCTGTTTTTCGTGTTTCAGCATCACTAAGAATAACATCAATCTCACAACCAGGACCGAAAAAGCCTCCAAGAAAACTCTGGAATAACAAGAATTAGGTGAGTTACTACACAGCGGACACTCCATTTTAAGTGTGGTATTTACTCACAGCTGTACACTATACATTGGGGAAAAACATTTGTGCTCCCATGAAGTTATAAAGTATTAGAGACACAAGAAATATCAATGACAAAAAAAGACAGTTGTTCACCTGGCAAATAATTGAAATCAGGTGAGGAACAAGCAGAGACAGCTCTTACAAAATATAATGTTTATTAAAAAATACATAGCATAGTTACTATTATTACTACTACACTAAAATACTAACAGGTATTTAAAATGTTACTCTTGCAAACACAACTTTGGTTTCTGTCACTGCAAAGTTTCCAATCACTGATTTCACTTCTTTAAAAGTTAAGCATTTTTAATCCATATTTAAAAAAAAAAAAATGAACTCTTTAACAAATTGATTCCATCTGGTTTAGGATTTGAGATATTATGCCAAAAACTACGTATTGCTTTATGCCCACTATAACTTACTGCATAAACAGCAGTAACAAGCATGATCAGAAGCAGGAAGAATAACAGAGCAAAGCAGGGTGAAAAGAAACAGCAACAGGGGATGTAATACAAGGCCTAAAGCATCCCCTGGGGCTGGCAAAGGGCAATAGGACTTCTATTTGCTATCTCTTCCTACACCCCATAGTTCTCTTGGCAAATGAAGACAGCAGGTTCAAGAGGCAGCGGTTCTTCACACAATCTACGTTAGCTACACAACTCTACCATCAGCTAGAGGGGACGTTACCAGTTTACCCGTAATACTGCTCCAGGCACCAATCGGTTATGAGCATTAGATGTTTGTCCTCACCATACTACAGCATTCCCTAGGCAGGAACTTTTGACCAGCATCAAACACAAGAAACTAGGAGAGACCATCCTTTGACCTTGCACAAACATTTCTTCACAATCGACTGCAAAACACATTAGCTGCTCTACAGGAAACTCAACAAGATTAGTACAAAAGCCCACACTTTCTCTTACGAATTAGGCACTAATCTGCTTTGATGTACCAGAGCAGACGACACTTCACTAATTCAGTGTGATTCTGGGGTTTTGTGGAGAAATTACACTATGTTCTCAACCAAGAGAACCCGCTTCAATTAGATGAATTTGGTACACATGAAACAGTCATTCTCACGTCACCAGTTTAACCTCAAAAACTGAGCAACAACACATTTTGAGACATTCTGGGGACCTGAAGTTTGAAATGTAGCATGAGTAGCAAAAATAGCCTAGACAAAAGTTTGATCTTCGTTCCTAGCAGCAGGAACACTGAGTGACTTTTTGCTTACCCCTACAAGTCAAGCAAAGACATGGTGCAATTTTGAGCCATAAACCAGAGATTCACACAAGACTAAACCGACTTTGTATTTGTTCAGATAGCAAGTGGCCCTAGTTCAATCCACAAAGATGTATATAACTAACTGAAACCTAGTTATATCTACTTCATGTTCTCACAGGAAAGCAAAAGCAGATGACCAACAAGGTGGTCGAAATAAGACCGAATGGTCCTCTAAGTCTCTGCCAAGCGCATATTCACATTAATTGCTGAAACAAGAAGTAAAACTTTTTTTTTTAAGAACCATTTTTGGCTCCTAGGGAAGGGAGAGAGAGAAAGAAGAAAGTTTCAACAAGAATTCCAAATCTTTACACTCTTTTAAACTGTTAACACTGAATACTTTTGGGCATGCCCATGTTTTTTTCCTCAGAAATTCTGCATTTGTTCTCCAGATTAGCTTTATACTTTTTTCTCCCTAAACAAGGAAGCACATTACCTTTACGTAAACATTATACAAGACGGTCTCACAGTACCTTCCAAATCAGGAAGCTGTACCATCATTTAAAGCAGTCAGCCAGGACTAACATGGGTAACACATAACTTCTCAAGACATTGTGTACGAGTTATTTCTCCTGTACCCCTTAAACATTAGCAATGATCTCATCCAGAGAGGACAAGAACATACGGAATAAAGAAATCAACAGCTGGTATCTCCTCCAGTTGCTATCAAAGATACTGCTGTGGGGAAAGTATGCAAAACAAGAAGTATTTTGAGAAGCCATCATATGGCTTATTATGTTACAGCTTAAGAAAACGAAGACAGAGAACTAAGGTTTTCAGAAGCTGGCCAAAGGCTAGGCGACGTTCTTGATTTCATGCAAGAAGCAGACGCTGAAGATTTTGTTACATCAGGACCGAAATCAATCTGCATTCAGTCCTTATGTGTTAGGGCTGTACTGAAGGACTTGCAGGACTCCCAGCAGCTGATGACCGGTGCAGAAATCCCAGCCTCAGCTCCACAAGGACCCCTAAAAACCTTCTGCATGTCCAAGAGATAGAGACACACGTTAAGGAATCCACACGCTTCAGAAAGCCAAAGCGCACTGATCCAGCTGATAAATTTTTATTTTTTTTTTCTTTATAAATCTGTACATCACAGCACACCAAGCACTTTGCCCAGGCCAAGCCTGCTAAGCACAAAGCAGCCGCTATTTCACCAGCCCTGAAGGATTACTACTACCAACCGCTGTCGTTTTAAGCGCTGCCTTACAGGACTGCTGAAAGATTTATGGTGTTTCCAGGACCATCACATGCACTTTCCCCAAAGCCTCCCCCGACAGTAGCTGTGCAGGGAAAACGGAAGCCGAGTTTCATGACTAAACCCCGTACTGGCGAGGGCATGCGTGCACGGGGGAGAAGCAAAGGAACACCCCAATCCGTTAAGGTATATTAAAAACACCCCAAACCTTTGGGTTTTCGCCATCTCGGCCCTTG